GCCTCCCAGTGTAATGTAACTAGGTATGTTGAGGCGTTGAGCGTGGCTGTGCGGACCCGTAAACGCCGGATGTATCGACACAACGTTTACTTCACCTTGCGTTGTTCGATGCTCGCTAGGCACAACCTTGAAGATCTGAACAACCAGACTAGAATACGCTATGCGCGATGCGCTACGCACGCGAAGTAGATGTCGTGGGGCAAGTGAGTGAGATCTCGGGTGCCAACCGAGCCGATGTGGCGAAGGGGCTTAGTGCGCGTGTTGGCTCCGTTTAGAGAGGTCACGATGGTGGAGGATACGGATGCGGAAGGAACGCTAGATATCATGCTATGTTGCACTACGCGATGGTGTATATGGTTTTATATGCTATGTACACGCGACGAACGCGTTACTCCAAGTACGTTCAATGCACTACTACCACTACTACCGCCTGAAGCGCTTGATGGCGACAAGACCCAACGACGCGTATCAGTTCGTTTCCTATGAAAGGTCGTAGTACTCGTCAATCTGTTCCCCATGCTCACTGGAGATGAAATCCATTATATCATCCACCGTCCCGTCCAAGTCATCCTCGTCCACTTCTTTGCAGTTGTCGCGGAGAAGCTGGATGAGCTGGTCCAGCGCGGTCTGCAGTACTTGCGGAGTCCAAATGTACTTGCGCTCTTCTGCGACTTCTTCTGCGATCTTGTCCCAATTGAAGTCTCCGTCTTCTTCACGATCATCGCGATGATTTTGCAGGCTCGCGATCAAGTCGTACTTGTCTCCCCATTGCATCTTGTCCCCAGTGGAAATGGTCGGCCTCGGGCCATCTAAGTTGGTCGAAGTGGCACCAGGCTGGGCCTCCTCAACCGGAAGCTCGTCGTTCTCCGTAGGCGCTGAGACTTTACTGTCGTGCTCAGACTGGTCGTCGTCCGAGTCTTGTGATGAGCTGCTCGACGCAACGCTGTGTTGATCGTCGTCGTCTTCGATTGGGTCGTCCTCAAGTGAGTCCTCATTCTGCTCTTGCACTTCGTCGTTGCCGTCTGTTTGCGGTTGCTCTGGGGAAATGATCGGCGCGGTGCTGAATGGTTCGTCTTCATCGGATGGTTCCTCAATCTCCTGCTCGGCGTCATCACCAGTTGGCGGTGATTGGGCGCGGTCCAAGTTCACAGCCGGATCTATCAGGGCTGGGTCGATCAAAGCCGGATCTATTTGGGTTTCCTGTACAACTGGCTGGGTCTCTTCCACGACCTTTTCGGCGCCCTCTGCATGCTCAGACTGATCGTCATTTGCAAGCTCCAGATCTGCTACTGACTCCTCGGAAACCTCGAGCTCGGTGCGCTTCTCCGGTTCGTTCGATTCCAGAGTATCGCTCTTCCGGGGGCGACCGCGCTTCTGGGACGGCGGCGAGTTCTTGGGTTGCTCGTCAACATCAGCACTATCATCCGAGTTCGCGATGATATCTCCTGACTCAGTCGGGCGGGGCGTTTGATCCTCGTTGGCTTCGGTACCCTCGCTTTTCCGTGGTCGTCCACGCTTCTTCTTCGGCGGCGAGACCGTCGATTGCTGATCGGCGTCAACCATCTCCTCATCTGAGTTTTCGATGACATCCCGTTTCTTGGTCGGGCGAGACTCCTCTTCGTTGTCGACTTCTGCAACCTCGCTCTTCTTTGACTTTCTGCGTTTCTTCTTCTTCGGTGGGCTGTCCGCTTCTTTGTTAGGTTGGCGTTCCTCGTCAGAGTTGTCAACAATCTCGTCGGTCTCGGCCGTGCGGAACTTCTTGGGCTTCTTCACTTCCGACCCTTCGCTCTTCCTTGGCCGTTTAGCCTTCTTAGGCGGCGGCAAGGCCTGGGCTTCTTCTTCATCCGAGTTGTCAATGACATCCTGTGACTTGGCAGAGCGAGGATTGGGTTTGGGTGTTGCGCCAGCCTCTCCCTTTGGCCGTCCGCGCTTCTTGGGGGTAGGTTCGGGAATCGCAGATTTGGAAGCAGCAAGCTTCTCCTTCCTCGGCTTGCGTTCGACCTCGATCTCTGGCGGAGATTCGCGCTTCTGCAGATTCCTCCACTTCTGTACGACCTGAATCCGGCTTCGCGTGTTGTCCATCTCACGGCTGACCTGCTGCCAGTTGATGTCTTTGATCATGTATTCTTCAATGGGCGGTAATCCTTCTTCGGCGCGGTGGTCTTCGTCCCGTTGAGCGACCGTGGTGACGGCGCGGATGAAAAGATCCTCCTCTTCTTCGTCCCAGCGCGAAGACTTGAGCTTGTCACCATATTGCAAGTAATCGCGCCATCTGTTTTGACAGTCGTGCATGGAGCGATCCCCCATGCCCACCGAAATGACCTTCCACTTGTTGGGGTGCATCCCGTAGAATTGCTTCAGACGTTTGTCTTCCTCCTCTGTCCATATCCCCCTCTTGAACTGGTGGTATGTCTGACGGATATGTCTTCTTAATCTGTCGTGCGAGCGTTCTGTGCGGAGGTGCTTGATGTCGTCCCAGAATTCCGCGCTTTCACGCGCGTCCTCGACGTCCTGTGGCGACCACTCGCTCTTGGATGATATAGTTCCATCTCCAGTGTTGAAGCTGGGGTCAGTTGGATTCCATTGTATGATGTCCACAAGCTCAGACACCTCCAAGCCTTTCCTCTGTTGGTAGTCTACGATAGCTCGACGGATGAGCTCTTCCTCGTCTGCGGTGAAGTCACCGGAGCTTCGTAGATCAGGAGGGTGTTGTAGGTCGTGCTCGGTGTTCAATGCTCTCTCCGCCGCGGTACCAGAGGGGGGATCTTTCCAGGTGAAGCTGTATCGGCCGCTCTCCCGCCTTGGTTTTGCTTTCCTCGCAGATGACCGCCTCTTCTTTGTCTTCTTCTTCTCTTTGAAATCGCTGTGATCATCACCGGACGGTGGAGCAACGTCTGCCTCGTCACTGGAGACGGGCTCTCGCATGATGCTGTCCTCGTCTTCCGCTTCGCCCGACGGCTGAGCAGGCGTGCGAACCGGAGTAGGCCGGTTGTCGATACTGTCCTTGTTCTTCTTCGTCTTCTTCAAACTGAGACGCGGCTTGGGGGCAGATGTCTGCGCGTTGCTCGCCTCTCCGTTCGTGGGACGCGGATCGTCGTCGGGAATCTCGTAGAGGTTTCTGGATTTCGCGATGGGGGTTTGCGGCTTCTTGATTCGTTTTAGTTTTGACTTCTGAACGGTCCGTGGTTGCTCGGCGTCCTCGTCTTCCCCGCCTCCAATCAGGTCTCGAAGTGTAGTCAGCGACTTTGGCGTACCAATCTTCCGCCGCTTAGCCGATGCGGGTGTTCCGTCAGCGTCCCTTGCAGCAGCTTTGCGTGTATGTGCGTCGTTCGACTCCGGCGCGTCCGCTTCTTGAGCGCGCTTGTGTTTCGATGCCGTATGCGACGGCGAGGCTGCCTCGTCTGCCATCATGGTTGTGTCTCCGTCCTGGTCTATGTCATCTTGCATAGCGTCGCTGATAGCCCGATCGCGCTTCGACTGCTTGCTCTGCTTGTATGTGCGTTTGCCTTTGGTTGCGCTGGACGGAATGACGTGGCTGGACATGGGCGATGAAGCAGTCGGTTGCGCGGGTCTTCCGGGAATTTGGGAGTCGGGCACCTCAACTGCGGTTGAGTGGGTGAAAGCATTGGCAGCAGGCGACTCGGGCTCCGGTTGCGTCGCGGGAAAGGGAAAAGGAGATGAGGCTGGAACGTCGTCCTGGGCTAGTATGCCTTTGCCTGGGGACGTCGCGACACTCTTCTTCGTGAGACCGAGTGCGCTGTTTCGCTTGCGCTTCTTCTGGATGAGAGGAGAGGCGTCCTGACTGCCGTCGACCTGGGAGAGGGTGCCAATGGAGCCGGCGGCGCCGATGCGCGTGCCCTTTTCGCTCATGAGCTGCTCTGACGCGGCGACGTCATCCATGTCTGGGTCTGCCACTCCAATGCGTTAGTCGTGGCTCTGGGCGGGAAGGTGCTGGTTGATGGAGCAAAAAAGTGCCCATTAAAACGCGTCGAGGCCGTCTACTCACTAAAGTGGGACCTGCGCGCCGTGGCGGGGGAAGCTACCGTCGCGGCCTCGCGTTTTGGGGAAGGAACGGGCTGAGAAGAGGAAGTACCCATCCTTCTCCTCAGATCGCTGAAGATGGCATACCCAGGGCTGGATTCGAGCATTGGCGTCGTGATAGCCTTTTGCTGTCGCGAACTTTGTCGATAACTCCAAAAAATTGACGTGTCGCGCTGCGCGAGAGACGTTTCTGGTCCCTGACTAGCCAAACCCGGGCTAGACTATCTCCCACCCCGGCTCACTGATACCCATCGCTTCTCCCCACTCCCCGCTCACCCCTCTCGTCCCATGTGAGACACGCATCCCGGAACGGATCCAGGTCATGGCTGCTGTATTGCTAGCACCTCTTCTCATCATCCCAGGACTGCGACATCAATCACACTGTACACCTGAAGCCACTTAGTAGCAGGATATTCTCCAACATGACGAGAGATGTACTATGCGAGCGCGTGAAGATCGAGAAGACGCGCATTCAGATCATCGGCTATATCAAGTCGATAACTCAGCTCTAGTTCCCGTCGCCTGCGCAGTAGTAAAGCCTCTGAACCTGGACGCCGTTCGATCAATGTTACTTGTCAACGACATACCTATGATGTGCACTGAGCATTCCGAAAATGACCCAAGACTACTGTTATAAGTCTCGGATGTTCCATTTCTTTTGTGGAGTACTCATCATGTTCATACATCATCCTCTCACTCGACCCATCTGCGTACTCTCACTTCATTAGCCAGCTCTTCCACCACGAGCCAACCCATTAACATGGGATGTGTGGCTCGAAGCATCTTCTTAATTGTTCTACTGCCGTTCCTACCTTCACTCAAGACCATAACCACATCCTACGATATTAGGCCTCCCTACTCATCACACGCTCGATCAGCCACATCAACTCTTCACCTTAGCTTACCGGGTTGTCAGCAAAGAGGCGTTCAAAATCCCATCTTGTCTCGGATCCTTGAAGATGAGACAGCAACAGAAGCAGAACGAGACTCACCATACCGAACGGCAAGTCGTATTGTCGGACCTGAACGCGAAGATCGACGGTCTCGACGTCGCGATCGCCAGTCTGATGGCAGAACAGCAGACGTTGAAAAAGGTCCGGGCATACATCCTGTCGACATACGACAAGGCAACGGATGCCTCAAACCACACCACTACTCCAGCAAATTCAGCTTCCAAATCATTTAAGGGGCCTACATACCCTCGGCACTCTCTTACAATGAAGAAAGCACGGTCAAGTCTCCGCCAGGAAGTCTTGATCCGAAACGCCATGGAGAGGGAAAAGAGTTCGTCACCTCCAGGATCTGTTGGTCTTCTATCTAGCGATGAGTTTGAAGCTTCTTTCCCAAACCACGAAGTGCCCAGTGGCCACGACAATAGTAACGCAGATGGCTGTGGCGGCGACATCGATGCCAGACGTGATGTCAGGCCATCCGTGGAAGGCATATCTTCTTCAACCGCGGAGAACCACTCTGCTCCTTTCTCAATCACAACAGCCAAGGAAGCCACACGTAGCACCACTCCTTCTCCGGATAGTGAGATGACCACACTCGACCCACCCGCTCGGAATGGCAAAGGTGTTCACTGGCATGCAAAACGTGTTATCAAACGCAAGTTGCAGGCGAATGCGGCCAAAGCCCGAGTTGCGCGCATGCGAAAGTTGGAGCAGATGAACATGGCAGCGGCATGAGAATGTGGCATTGAGGCATTGATTGACGAGAGAAAAGTGTTAGGGACTTTGGGTCAGACTCAGGAGTTGCTGCCGGCGTTGGGCGTTGTTGTCACGAAGGAAAAGTGCGAATATAATAGGTGTTAAGGGTGATCATTTGTAGTCATTGAGCAAACAAAAGCGATGTTTTCTCTTCTCCATGTGCTCTACGCGTACCACCATATTACAGATTTTACCAAATCGTTCCCAAATCTTCCCTCATGATTATCCGTTAGATTTGACGCAACAACCAACACGGGTAGTGCAGGAGAATTTATTTTCAACATTCGCGTATCCTCCAATTCGAGAAAACCTAGCGACACACAACCTCGATATTCCACACATTTTTATTGGCTCATTTCCCCATTCATCGACCCTCCAAAATAGCTTATCACGGTATGCTGGCTATCGTCGGCGCAGTTTGAGGTGCTGAAGGGCTAAAGGGCTGAAGTTGGTGGTGTGTAGAGGCGTGCGATATGGGCTCGTACTTCGTGGCGGTGGATGATGCGACACAAGAACTTCAGTATTGCTTTGAGGGGCTTGTCAAATACAAAGTCGTTCAAATGAACGTTGCGCTCCTGGGTCGCGCAGATGATCAGTTGTTCTGCCTTCGCGCTCGAGGTGTGGTGTATCTCGTCGCGGAGAATCTAGCTGTGCCTTTGTTACAACGGGCAACTTTGTCGCACGCGAAAACATTCGCTACAGGCGCCGCCTCGCTGCGCGAACACTGACAAGACATGCATTCCATCGTTTAGTTACAGTAGACTTGAAAGCACTTAACAGACGGTCGATCATAGTAGTATTAAGTGCAACGCGCATCGCTCTGAGCTCTTGTTCCTTCCACATGAACACCGTCGATGGGCCGGAAAGCGCGACGCGATGCGACGAACAGCTCCCTCTGCCTCAACACCACCATGTAGCCCACCAAAACCACCAAAGATTTCTTCCTCAACCGACGAGCAAGCCCATCTTGTCAATGAAAAAAAGAAAAAAAGGTAACCTGTCAGATTGCCATCAACGTCCTGCCTCCCAGCGCAACACGAAGTCGCAAACCAGTCAGCTGAAGATCATCGCCACGAGCGCCGAAGCACCACGTAAAAAAAAGCCTCACTCCGGGACATCGAGGCTGATAGTCATCAACCAGGGTGGAGATTCTGTGGCTACTTAGAGTAACTCAGAAGAGGATGCATACTATTAGAAATGATTCTATGAAGTATGATCGACATGATGAGCAGAAGGAGGGACGGAGGGAGGGCGGTTTATATAGGCAGAGGGAGCGGTGCAAGGGCCAGAGGGGCACGTGATGCCTAGGTGGTATTGGGAGGAGGATTTTTCACAAGATCCACTGTGTGTGGCCGGTGTTGGCCGGAATGGCCTATCGTGGGGGCTGGGAGTGAAATTTCTGAGGGTGTTTGTTCGGTGTGGGATCATAGCGTTCGGCCTGCGGTGTGCGTGCGGGCGGATTTTACCACTGTGACGCGTGTGAATGGTTGTTGTGTTGGTTTTGCGGAGACTGTACCACGGCGAAAATGGCGGTCGAACCAGGAGCGGTCAGGGGCGGTGGATAGCCGGCGGGTCGCGATCTTTGAAGCGTTTGCGCATGACGAGAACACGAAAAGAAGACGAGAACATCGCTGGCTCAGGTCGCTTCGACTTGCGGATAAATGAGCACGATGGCAACGAACAGCATTTTGTGTCTGGCTCGATGAGCTATCGTTTTACGATATCTCGTCGCGATGTGACACGTTATTGGCCTCTCGCTGCCAATCGTAAGTCGGTTACGCCGCGCAGAGGCTTCCTTCAACCGCTTGTGCTACTCCGTCACTACAATACCATGGAGCATACTTCATTTGGACGGTGGAGAATGACCCGCAATATTGGTCTTTCTCTGTCTATTGCCTATCATGCCTCCAGACCGTTGGTCGCAACTGCTGCGACGTTCAGCTTGACCTATCCCTCATACACGCTAGAGATTGCAGTGCAATGGGCTGGAGGATCCGATCGATCCATTTGGTTCCAACCGTGCGATAGGTCAACCAGCAGTCTAAGCAAGAGATGCTCAACCGACTCTTCCACTTCCGCGCTTACCAGACTTCCGGTTCACCTTGGGCTCTTCCTCTTCCTCCTCACTGCCCTCCACAACAAGCTTCGGCCCCACAGTCCTCCCATCAAACCGCTGACGTCGCTCACTGACATGAACATCCACCTCCCTCCCCCGCTCCCTATACCCCTTGACAAGCCACTCGCCAAACTTATACAGACAAGCCAACCGCCGCTCCCCTCCCTGGAGATGATTCACACCTTCAAGATACACCCTCTTGACCCCACTATGTTCAAGCATCGGTCTGAATTGGAAGGCTTCCAGGAAATCTTCCAGTTCGCGGGGACTCTGGTATTGTGTGTACGCTCTATCGACGAGCTGGATCCAGTGGAATGACATGGCGATGGCGTCGAGCTGTGTGCACTTGAGCATTAGAGGGATGTCGAGGTTGCCGTCGATATCATAGTTGGCCCGGGTATACGGTATGTACTTTACGTGGGGGAAGTTGATGCGCTTGATGGCTGCGAATCCTTGGGTGGTAGCTACGCCATCGATCGTCACCGCGGGGAACGTGGAAAGGAAGTCTGCGAACCAACGCGCGATCTTGAAGGGCTTCTTTGCATCGTATTTGAAGTCGAACCACTCGGTCGTCGAGAGCATGAAGAGGGTGACTTCGCTCAGGAGTTGCTTGTTCGCAAAGGCGAGAGCAGGGAGCCACGGCGCGACTTTCGCGGTCGCCAGTTCATCCTCAGCCTTCCGATCGCAGACAATGAGGTCTTCTGGCCAGCGCCAGGTGCAACACGGATTGTTGTAATTGTCAACATGGAGATGCTTTGCTAGACTCGAGGCGTTGCGCGCATTCTCCAAATAGGCCTCAAAGACGTCGCAACAAGGCTTGCGGTATCTGAGGTGACCATGATCTGCCAGCGTGGAGTCATTGTGCGCTGTCTCTAGGTGCAAGTACGCTGCGAAGATCTTGAGACGTAGCTCCGCGGGTAAAAGCAGGAACTTGGTGAACTTGGGCTCATGGACGGATGCCGCTTCTTGACTGGCGACTTCGGGGATGGGAGTGCCCTCAGTCATTGTCGCGTTGCGAAGTGTCTACTTCTCTTGTATTCTCGAGTTGTCGGTGACTGATATGATAGCATGGAGGCCTTGGTCCCCCCGCGCGGGTTGCCTGACGCCCTACTTACACGCCACCTGGGCAAGATTATACACGTCACGTGATGTCTTTCTGCTTGCAGACCTGGGGTCTAGGTAAATTCACTCGAACGGCTGCGGATTGACATACCTAGGTAGGTACCCTGCTGCCTAAACCGAATGGTCAGTGCTCAGTCCCCTCCAAGGTCATGTCTATCACCATATCCACGTACTGCATTGTTCTCGCTCAACGAGTCGCTACTCTCAACTCGGGATTGACAATCCGATATGCCGAAGTGTATACATTACGAGGTTGAAGTATGTATTGGTCTCAAACTTTTTTGTCTACTTTACTAATCTATGGTGACAGGACGCTATTTCTTCCGAGTACATGCTCCTTGTCGCAAGAGCCACAGATCATGACGGTTGCGTGGACCAATCCGATGACCACTCACTTCTCGAGGCTTTTCAGGATCTTCTCGAGGGCGTTGAACACACCATGGAATACGAGACCGAACCCGTTCTACACACCACACCGAACGATGCGCTGAGTGATTCGCTCGCCCAACATAGTGAGAGCTCCAACCTATCTGTGGACCCATTCTACGAAGACCTCACGAAAGCTTTCCGCTATATTTCTTCTGCAGGTCTTTGGTATCTACGTTACGAGACATCTCTCCGCAGAACATCCGCAGATAAGGAGTTCACCAAGATAGCGAAGGCAAGCATGTCATACCTCAAGGACAACCGCGAATGTCGCTTTGACCCATTCATGCCGTACCATCAACAGTACATGTCCAGAACTCTGGTACAGCTTTACGAACACATGGGGTATGGTTCGCTCGGCGACGCTGTCTTTCGCCATATGACGGGCTGGTATGATGTATTCGACTTCGAGTGTGCACGATTCTGTGCGCATATGTGGGACGGACACTGTTCCTGCGGTTTTCTTTATGACGACCACGGCTCCATTGACATTCTTGCTTCACGCGATGTCCCGACCGCGGTGACATATATGCACCAAACGACAAACGACATAATACCCATCGACCAGTTGGCGTTCCAGGATCTCGCAGAAAGAGCGGCGCAGTACTTGGCTTTCACCAACGACTACGACATCTGGCCGGATGCAAAAGTGGCAGCTTTCCGGGAATTCTCTGGTCCTGTCGTTGAATGGCTGCACTACGAGAACGGCATTGAACGGATCGAGTGGACAGAATTCAAGGACATCGCTGCAGCAGTGACGGGATTTCTATCCTACGAGCCACCACCATACTTTCCCCACTTCTTGCGATTGCCGGCTGAGATTCGAAAGATCGTTTACCACCACTATCTTTCCGGAAACGGCACTGTCTTTCTGGCCGACTCTTCCAGCTGTAATATCTGGGCCTGCTGTATCTGGAACTATCAGTCGCTGACCGTTTGCAAACATAGCCAGAAGACTCTGACCCCAATCGGACAAGCTTACAGAGATGTCGGAGGTTGGTACGCGGCTTTGAGTCTCACATGCGGGCAGTTGCAGGGCGAGATCATTGTCTTCATGCTAGAGCGCACACAGCAGATTGTTCTCAACCTCGAGGAGGGTGGCGGCGACGGCGGTGCGTGGTTTTACGACATTATGGCAGCAATTCCTCGTGGTGACGGTCTGCGGGCAGTGAAGCACCTAGCCTTTCGTCTTGAGCATCTGTGCCACGACTCTCAGTCGTCACCCATTCCAGGAAGCCCTATGGTGGAGCTTGCACTCGCCTGTACTTCTCTCCGAGAAATCGAGTGGACAATCAATACTCAAGAGCTCTTCTGC